AATGGATTTACCTTTATTTCTGGTTCAAATACAGGTGGTGCACTTACCCTGGCTTTCGAATTCAAGATTGGAGATATAGATGATTCAGGTATATTATTCTGATCGTTACCATTGGTAACAGTTTTTGAATTTGCATGGCCATGATCATTAACATAATTTATGACATTTTGAATTTGAGCATTAGTTAATCTTGAAATATCACTTGCGCTACAAGTTACTAGCTTAATTTTATCTATCCCGACACCCTTTTCTCCAAATAATTTAAGAAATTTTTTAGCTCTATTAGTTCGAATTCGCAAATTACCTGAAGTAACATTAGGTAGATATTTTTAGCATTTCTTTATATATCATTGACCTTGCTGTCTTTTCTTTTATCTTTCCATCTGCCGTCATATTTTTTACTTTATTTTCAGTTTCAAAAGAATAATTATACCAGTATAGTATTTCTTTTATACCCGATTTGATAGCTTTTTCAAACCAATAAGCCAGACGTTGCGTAGAACCCTCAATTATTTTCTCCAAAGAAAGTTTATCATCTATCTCAATAGATTTTGTTATAATGATAGGTTTAGTAAAATCCCGCTTTAAAGTTTGCTCAGTAATTTGATTCCTATCAAGTCCCGATACTTCATCAGATGAATCAGAAGAATATAATTCTGTATTATTATCAGCCGGAGGCTGGTTCGCGCCAATATCAACAGTTTTTATATCGCATGCTAATTCCAAGTTCTGATCGTTACCATTGGTAACGGTTTTTATGTCACATGATAAAATGGATCGCTCTAATGAATTATTATCCGAAGATAACTCAGAACTATTAGAGATAGGTTGCGATATTATAGATGATTCCAAATTTTGATCGTCGTAGGATGGTTCCAAAGATGAGTTTTGATCCCAAAGTTTCTTTTCTTTAATGCTCTGAATTATCTCTTTACTAACCTTTTCTTTATATGTTGAATCTAGGAAATCGTCCATCTCCTTGTCTTCCAACGATTTAGCCTCTGTGTGGATATGTGATGCGGGAACATCCACTCTTTGTGAGACTATCTGTTTGGGAGTTATAGGAGTAATGCTAGTTATAGAATCATTTGTTTCACAGTGAATCGAAGTTTCTTTACCAGAGTGGGCTTCG